CCGCATACAGGGGACGGCCCGGTGGCGCACTGCTACAGTGCGCCGCTTGGGAGCGTGGCGGTGCTCCCGCCGAGGGTTCGGATCCCACATACAGACCGGTTCCCACTCACTGGCTGAGCGAGGTGCGGCCGCAACACCGAGGGTTGCGATCCCATTGCCGGTCCCGGTCCGGTACGGGCGCGACACTGAGGGCTGCGATCCATTGCCGGACACGAAAAAAGACAAAAGGGGAAAAAAAAAAAAGACTCAAACAGACTAATTGGATTAAAAGACCTTACCCAACTGTATGCTGTCTTCAAGAGACTCACCTCACCTGTAAAGATGCACGCAGACTAATAGCGAAGGGATAGAAAAAGATATACCATGCAAATGGAAACTAAAAATGAGAAGGAGTAGCTATTATATCAGATAAAATCAACTTGAAACCAAAAACCATAAAAAGAGACAAAGAAGGCCACTATATAATGATAAAGGGATCTATCCACAGGAAGACAGAGCAATCATAAATATATATGCACCCAACACTGGAGCACCCAGATATATAAAGCAAATACTATTAGACATAAAGAAAGAGATAAACCCCAATTTGATAATAGCGGGGGACCTGAACACCCCTTTTTCAGCACTGAACTTGGATTGGAAGAATTAACATTGTGAAAATATCTATACTACCAAAGTGATCTACAGATTCAATGCAATCCCTATCAAAATCCCAATGACATTCTTCACAGAAATAGAAAAAACAATCCTAATATTCATATGGAACAACAAAAGACCCCAAATAGCCAAAGCAATCCTGAGCAAAAAATAATAATAAAGCCAGAGGCATTGCACTACCTGACTTCAAATTATACTACAAGATATTATAACCAAAACAGCGTGGTACTGTCATAAAAACAGACACTCAGACCAATGGAACAGAATAGAGAACCCACGGACTTACAGCCAAGTTATATTTGACAAGGGCAACAGGAACATACATTGGGGACAGGTTGGCCTCTTCAATAAGATGTGCTGGGAAATGCAAATCAAAACCACATTGAGATGTCATCTCACCCCAGTTAGACTGGCTATTAGCAGAATGACTGAGAATTTTAAATGCTGGTGAGGATGTGGGGAAAGGGGAGCTCTTCTAACTGTTAGTGGGTCTGTAAGTTAGCACAGCCATTATGGAAAACAGTATGGAGGTTCCTCAAACAACTACAGATAGAACTGCCATACAGTCCAGCAATCCCACTGCTGGGTATATATCCAAAGGAATGGAAATTATCATGTCGAAGGGATACCTGCACTTCCATGTTCATTGCAGCTCTATTTACAATGGTCAAAATATGGAACCAGGGCCGGCCCAGTGGCGCACTGGAGAGTGCGCCGCTTGGGAGCGTGGCAGCCCTCCCGCCGAGGGTTTGGATCCCATGTGGAGACCGGTTCCCGCTCACTGGCTGAGCACAGTGCGGGCGCAACACTGAGGGTTGTGATCCTGTTACCGGTTAGTAAAAAAAAGACAAAAAGGAAAAAAAAAATACGGAACCAACCTAAGTGTCCATCAATGGATGACTGGATAAGGAAAATGTGGCATATATACACAATGGAATACTACTCTGCCATAAAAAGGAATGAAATTCTGCCATTCGCAGCAACATGGATGAACTTAGAGAAAATGATGTTAAGTAAAATAAGCAAGGCACATAAAGAGAAATACTAGATGTTCTCACTCATTAATGGGAGCTGAAAAAAAATAATACCCAAAATGAAAGCAAGAAAGATAACAACAATCACAATAATTTGTTGAGCTTTCCAAAGGAGAAAACAGAACTGAGGGCGCCAGACATGGGAAAGGTGGAGGAAGAGGGGGCGTTGGGGAGAAATTGGTAACAGGCCACAGAAAATTACATTGTATAATGATAAAATTTTTTTTAAATAGAAAATTTAAAAATATATATATATGGATAGAAAAAACTAATAGGGTCATGTCAAAAATGTTAACAGATGTTTTGGGTAATTTTTTGCCCTATTTATACTTCATTATGTTTTCAAGATACTCGTTTGTTAGTTTTTTGTTGAAACATAATTGATTGTACATATCTGTGGGGTACAGCATTGAATATCAATACCTTTGTGCAATATGTGATGCTCAATTCAGGATAATTAGTGTATTCAACATTACAAAATATTCTGTCAGGAGTGTATTTTACTTTTATGGTCAGAAAATATATTTCAAAGAGCAAGATATTAATAAATAAATTATATTTTTAAAAAATATGATTATCTCACTTATATGTGGAATCTAAAAAAGTCATAGAAGTAAAGAGTGGAATGATGGTTACCAGAGGCTGCAGGGGGAGGGAGGGAGGGAATGGAGAGTTCTTGATCAAAGGGTACAAACTTTCAGATGAGAGGAATACATTTTGAGAGCTCTTGCACAGCAGGGTTATTCTAGTGAATAAAAATGTATTGTGTATTTCCAAAAACATGGAATCTCTTCCTTTGTCTTGGTGACTAATAACTTTCATCTTTATGTCAAATATTGTATCTTTCTAGGGCTTTCACTTCTCTATATAAACTCAGCTATGTGGCAACACCTAATGGTTGTTGCATTAATATCTTATAGTCACACAACTCCTAGCGTTTCTTATGTGCTGGTATTTTACTTGGAGCTCCCCTGCCAAAAAACTGATTTACTATAAATTCATCTGCCATGTTCAAATTATTTTTAAAGTGTGATGATTGACTTGACAGTGCTACAGGCTCCATCTTAACTTTCTCTGGGAGAATATGTGAGGCAAAAAAAAAAAAAAACTCAGAAGCCCCTGGGAGTAAAACATGTTACTGCATTTTCTGTTTTGTCGAACATATTCAAAGGTGATATCATGTGCATTGATAAGATACTGGAGTACAGGGAAAAGAAATATATATCTTTCTAATGCTGAAGTTTTCCTTTCCCTCTTTGCTCCTCAACAGGCAGCTCTGGAAGCATTAGATGAACTGGACCTGTTTGGTGTGAAAGGTGGGCCTCAATCAGTTATCCATGTCCTGGCTGATGAAGTACAACATTGCCAGGTAAGGGAATAATGGACCATGTTATGGAAATTGTATTCTTGCCCAGATTCAGAATTAGCATGGGCTTTAGATTAAGGAGAGCTGAATGAGAGCACACCATCTGATTTCTTACCATGTGCCAAAAGATGTCTTTATTAAACATTCTATCCTGACGTAAGCCTGATACAGCATGGGCTATGAAATAGATCATAGCCCTGTTCTCTCACCCAAGGTTAATTAAGAGATCTTGCTGTAGTATATGAAATTCTCCACTGCTGTCATATCAAGGAGCTATGGCCTCTCTTCCTGAGTATTTCTTTTTCTAAATATATGAAAAGAACTAGAGATGATAGTTTTTGAGAGTTCTCAATCATGGCTCTGAAACATACTCTTGTCCCTGGTTGGCTGTAGGGTTGGATATTTGGATATTAGACTGTTTAAGTGATAAATATATATCTTGAGGGTTTTTTTAGGATTACTCTCTGTATGGAAAGATTAAGGTTCTTCTTGTTGGCATCATGAATTTTCTCTTCTTCAAATCCTGATTAGACACGTATAGCGTCCTAGTGAATATAATAAACTTATCTTCTAATTTTAAAAACTTTTCCATGGGGAAAACTTATGTCAGAGGCATAGGACCTGAGCCTTCCCCATCCTGCTTCTCAGCAGCTACATTTTACCTTAACTTTACTCTTAAATAGTAGCTAATGGAGCAGCAGGACTACGGATAAGATAATGATGTTAGAGTATTCTTTATCTATGAGCATCCGTTTAAGAATCAGGATGGGAAAGCATTGAGAGCAGGATTTAGACAAGGGATGACTTTTAGAAATAGCTAGTTTCTAAGCTCTCACTATAGAATAATGTTTATGTTTTCTTCTTTATGATCCTCTTCCATGTAAATCTTTTGAAACTAAAGCTGTTAGTTTTACAATGCTGACATATTTACTGATGTGCCACATTTGACTTCCTTTCTTTTAGTCTATCCTTAATTCACTACTGCCCCGGGCTTCAACATCCAAAGAGGTTGATGCTAGTCTACTTTCAGTGATTTCCTTCCCGGCCTTTGCAGTAGAGGATAGCCAGTTGGTGGAGCTCACAAAACAAGAAATTATCACAAAGCTTCAGGTATGTCCATATGTGCCTGTCTTTTCTTTAGGACTATAACTTTAAGGGGAAATTAGTGCTTTGGAGGGTCTTGAGTAATACCTGTGTCAGTGATTTCAAGAAACCTTCCATTTTTCTGAGTTGTCCTTTTATAAGTAGTTTCTTTAAAAGCTGTTATAGTTTATAAAGTCATTGCTGATGTAAATGTAGAATAGTACATCCACTTTGGAAAACAGATTGACAGTTTCTTGTAAATTTAAACATATACCTACTTTATGACCTGACAGCCTCACTCCTAGGTATCTACCCTACAGAAATGAAAACTTATGCTCACACAAAAATCTTCACAAAAATGTTTATAGCAGCTTTATTTTTAATTGCCAAAAACTGGAAACAACCTTCAACAGAGGAATGCATAAACAAATCACACTATATCCATTCAGTGGAATACTACACAACAATAAAAAAGAACAAGCTACTGATCGATACGACAATATGGATGATTCTTAAATGCATTTTGCTAAGCAAAAGAAAGCCAGTCCCTAAAAACTACATATTGTATGATTCTATTTACACGACACTCTGGAAAAGGCAAAACTATAAGGAGGAAAACAGATTAGTGGTTGCCAGAAGTTGGGGGGAAAGATTGTCCATAAAGATATAGCACTGGAGAATTTTGAGGGTGATGGAATGGTTCTCTATGGAACTGTCCTGTTGGACACATGACTCTTTATGCTTGTCAAAACCTATGGAATTGTATACCACAAAAATAAATTTTAAAATATCGACTAGGGTGTGGCAAGAAAAATGAAATGCAGGCTGAAAAATGAGTCTAACTGTATAACAAATGAATCACATAATCACACAGAAGTGGGTGGAGAAGAAAGGAGCCTACTTAAGTCTTGTAAAACAGTGTTTGACTGGATACTGTAAACCTAAAGACAAAAATAAATGTATATAAACACTGTACTCTAGTTCAGGGTCAGCAAACTACAGCCTGTGGGCTGGCCATCTGTTTTTGTACATAAAGTTTATTAGAACACACCCACGCTGTGTTTACAAACTGTCTATAGCTGCTCTCAAGATACAACAGTAGAGCTAAGTAAGTGCAGCAGACTGTATGGCCTGCAAAACCTAAAATATTTACTATCTTGCTCTTTAAGAAAAAGTTTGTCAACCCCTGCTCCAGTTGATAAATTTTTTTTCAGAGGGGTTTGGGTTAGCAATTCTGGAACTACTTTATTTGTATATTATGGGTTGAACAAATAAGTAAATAAATAGTAGATATGATAGATCATAAGACCCAGATTTCTCACTGTTGAAGAAAGAAGTTACAAATAGGGAATGGGGAAAGGCTAGAATGAACCCTGTGATGCTGGACTGGAGTAGTGGTATCGATACGAACTCATGTGTGATTGTGTGTGTCTTTAACATAGGGATGTATGTCTATTTACATGTGTTTCCTAGCTTTGTCTGCTGAGAGGGCCCAAAGGCAATGACCACTCCTAGTTTCCAAATCTTGGTTTCTAGATACCATTCACAATAAAAGGAATCAGAACTCCTTAGAGAAGTGGTTGATTCAGGATTGGGTCAAGGAGGATACAAGAGAAGCCTGGAGCATCTTATGGTCCTGGAAAGTAAAGAAATACTCGGAAAAGGATGGAACGTGTCAAAGGGACACAGGAACCAACTGGAAAGTGCCCCTAATAGCCAAAGCAGGAAGAATTTGAATAACAAAATAAATATCATAGTGTCGGATTATAACCCAAGGAATAAACTTAATATCTATGAGTCCATAATGATATAAATAAATAAATAAATAATGAGTAAATGGTAGAGAAGAGACAAACCTTCTTTATAGGAGAATTTAAATTAATAAATGTTTAAAGAATGAAGGAAATAAAAAATTGCCATTAGACAAACACCACGATAATAATTGTTGCAGGAGAGCTCTACTGATGTATGTTAAAATCAGTGGGCAAAGGGTTAAGCAGAAAGAAGATACTTGCATAGTCTCAAAGTATCTCCCCCCAAAATATTTAATAGTTACCAAAAAAAAATTACAGTGGAGAAACCCAGCAGGCACCATCTTAACCAAGTGATCAGGGTTGACATCACCAGTATTAGGATGTATTGACCTGATGTACCCCCTGATATAGTGAATTGAGAAGGGCACATCACCTCTATGGTGCCCTTCCCAATAATGCATAACCTCAATCTCATTATGAGACAACATCAGTCAAAACCAAATTGAGGAACATTCTACAAAAGTAACTGACAAACACTCTTCAAAGTGTTAAGGTCATGAAAAATAGGAAAGACTAAGGAACTGTCACAGATTGGTGGAGACTAAAAAGACATAACAACTAAATACAATGTTGGATTCTTAACTGGATCATGCAACAGAAAAAAGGACATTAGTGGAAAAACTGGTAAGATCCAAATAAGTTATGTACTTTGGTTAATAGTTTTATATGAAGGTTAATTTTTTAGTTTTTCGTTTTGTTTTGTTTTGTTGTTTCTGGCAGCTGGCCAGTACAAGAATCAAACCTTCGACCTTGGTGTTATCAGCACCACACTCTAGCCAACTGAACTAACCAGCCAGCCCAATTTTTTAGTTTTGAAATACATTCCTGGTTATGTAAGATGTTAATATAAGGGGATGGCGGTTGATGGTTATACTGGGACCTTCTGTACTGTTTTTGCAACTCTTCTATAAATCTAAAATTATCTCAAAATTTTAAAAATATGTGGCTTTTTGGGCTGGCCCGGTGGCGCACTGGAGAGTGCACCGCTTGGGAGCATGGAGTCGCTCCCACCGAGGGTTCGGATCCCATGTGGAGACCGGTTCCCGCTCACTGGCTGAGCGCGGTGCGGGTGCAACACCGAAGGTTACGATCCCATCTCCGGTCCCTGGTATGGGCGCGACAACGAGGGTTGCGATCCCGTCGCCGGTCCCCGGTATGGGTGCAACACCGAGGGTTGTGATCCCGTCGCCGGTCCCCGGTACGGGCGCGACACCAAGGGTTGCGATCCCGTTACCGGTCAGTAAAAAAGACAAAAAGGAAAAAAAAATATGTGGCTTTTAAAATTTTGTTTTCAAATATTTTATTTTTTTAACTAAACACTTATTCCTAGATTTGTTCCACAATAAATACATATTGTGAAACAATCAGAAGATACAAATAAACAAAAAGAATATAAGCATAACCCATAACCAAACCAGTCAGATAGCATCCATTTTAGTGTATTTTAGAGTTTCCTTTTCCAGATAGCTTAATAGTATGCTTTAACATATTATCATACATACTTAATAATACACATAAATGTACACTTTACAAAAATAAGGTCTTATGATCTTACTGAACAGAGTACTTTTTAAACTACTTTTCTCCTTATCATGATGTATTGGGAACATATATTTCAATAAAAACACTTAAACAACATCATTTTTAATGAATGGAAAGTATCCCATGGTACGTATGTTTCACAATTGATTCAACTTCTTCAAGTTTTCTCCACTATGATTAGCCTGCAATACAGTTAGCATCATCCCAACTAAGTGTCTGCATAGATCAATAATTATTTCCTTAGAATATATTTCTATAAGTGTACATGCTAGGTAAAATGGTATGAATATGTTGAGGTTTTTGATGCATCTAGTTACCCTTCAAAAAAGTTATACCAATTTATCATATCCCACAAACCCAGAGTGCTATCATTCCTTTTTATTTTTGTCATCTGATAGAGAGAAATAGCATCTCATCACTATCTTTTTTTGCATTTCTTTAATTACTAATGACATTGAACATTTTTCAATTGTTTACTGGTCTTTGCTTTTCCTGTTTTATGGATTTCTTGTCCATCTCCTAATTTTTTATTGGTGGATTTATCTTTTCCTTTTTATATATAGATATGTATTTAATTAATTTGAGGATTTTTTGAGTTGATAATGACTTTTTTTCTAGTTGGGACATAGTTGATTGCACATATCTGTGGGCTACAGCACTGAATATCAATATCAGTGTGTAATATGTGATGTTCAAATAAGGATAATTATTATATTTATCATTATACAAAGTAATCAATTTTTGTGGCCCTTTACCAATTCCTCTCTTTCCCCCTTCCCTCTCCCCCTTTCCCACCTCTGGTAACCTCAGTTCTGTTTTCCTCTCTTAAAAGTTCAACATATTATTGTGATTGTTGTATCTTTTTCTTTATAGTCTCTGATAAGCTGTGTGAGCTGTCAGCAGGACCACATAGATTAGTGAGTAGGCTGTCACAGACTCACCCTAAGGTGGACAGCCATGAAGAGGATACTGCTAGGAACACTGCTTTAGGGAAAAGCCTGTAACTTAGCCATCACTTGAAATCACATTGCTGAAATCAGTTTCTGCTGCTGGGTTGATTTCAAGTTTTTCTTTCTGTTTTTAAGTATCATGTCAGTATTGGTGTGACAGGTTGGTACATGCAGATGTTAGAAAGGATGCATTTTTGATTAATTATATAGCTGTACCAATGTACAAGCTTGTGACCTTTTTTCTCTGCATTCCCAGGGCCGTTATGGTTGCTGTCGCTTTCTACGAGATGGATATAAAACTCCTAAAGAGGTAGGTTTCTTTTCCCAAAAATGAACCCGAGGTACAATGGTCACTGATATGTGTAGCTTCATTCAGAGAAAATACTACCTCATGATAGTACTTATATAGAGCACCAAATAGAATAAGGACGTTTGCTATATTTGTTGGGCTTAGCTGTCAAGTTCTCAGTCTGTAAGCCTTTCTGGATTAAATAAAGTAGAAGAAGGTGCAATCCATCCACCTCTTGCAGTTGTTTAGTTTCAGGAAAGAACCACTGATGGATGCTGAAATCAGAGAAAAAAAGAGGACAGAAACAATATTTTCATGGTCTCAGAGTATCTTTACTCCACCCCCCACCTTCAAATACTTAATAATTACAAAGGGAAAAGTCTTTCCATCAGTAGATCTTTCTGGCCTCCTTTTCACCTTTTGCAGTTGGTTAGTTCTAAACAGTACCTGATCTTGAAAAGGCAAGTTCCTTTTGTTCTACTAGTCAAAAGTTCTCCTTGGAAATATAAATGAGAAAAATTAGGTATTATTAAAGGGAATAAATTGTTGATAAGCACCACTTTCGTTGGTAATACAAACATTTTTAAGGCTTAAGTTTGCTGGTCAACAGCCATTATGATTGTTCTAAAACAAAATTATCGAGCTCATACTCTTCTAGGCCACTTCCTCTATTCCACTTTATTCTTTATCCCTGAATTTGACTTCTGCTCCTATCAAGCTACTAAAATTATGCTCTGAAACATTATCATAAGCTCCTAAATGACCAATCCAATATTCTTTTCTCAATTCTTATTCTTCTTGACTTCTCTTACTACATCACTGTTACCTACCCCTACTTTTCTTGAAATTCTTTTCCTATTTTTCTTTCCACAACACAACACTATCCTGATTTTTCTCTTTCTGTCCTTCTCTCACCCCACTCTGAGGGTTTACCAAGATTCCATTCTTGGGCAGTTTGTTCATTTTACAGAGTACTATTTTACGAAGCTCATTTATAACTTATGCTTCATGTATCATCTCTATGAGGATGATTCCCAAGCCCTTATCTCTAGCTGCCCCTCTAAAACATTTCTATTTATATGTCCTACTACTACCTCAAACTTAACAAGTGTAAAACCAAACTCAACTTTACTGCAAATCAATTTTGTTTCTTCATACACCCTCTTGCAATGGCATTTTTATCCCAGTTCCACTAGTTAGAAGTCACATCATAATAGAGTACTTGCTAAGGGAGGGGAATATGTATGTGCTCTGCCTTTCCTGACCACCTTCTCTGAAACAAACTATCAGCCACATTATAATACCTCTGAACTACAAATGCACTTCGAATGTCTGAGTCATAAGACAGATTTTGTTTATTGTGTTTTTACTAGGATCCCAATCGTCTCTACTATGAACCAGCTGAGCTGAAGCTATTTGAAAACATTGAGTGCGAATGGCCATTGTTCTGGACATACTTTATCCTTGATGGGATCTTCAGTGGCAATGCAGAACAGGTAATGAGCTGGGGAAAGAGCTTTTCAGCAGAATGTTCTTGTTATGTCTTCCTATTTCAGTTAATGGCTCTTCTGATCCTGTGTCCAAATGGAAGTCTTCCTAATAGGGAGGAGACAGACTTGTCCCATAGAGACTAGTGGCTAAGAGTACTAAGTAAAGAGTCAGGCGACCTGGATTATTTTCCTTTCTTCTATTTTTTATTTATTTATCTATCTTTTTTTTTTTTTGGCCTTACTTCTGACCATTGAGTAGCCCAAGTGTTGTCATTGACTTCTTCAGTCTCACTGTACATAAAATGAGAATAGTTTTTCTCTTTTCTCTCTACCTTACAGAAGAAGATAACCCTAAAGTTCTTTGAAGTTCACAGATAGACATGTTGTAAGAGCAAGGTACAGTCAATTCTGCTATAATGAGACATAAGTATTCCTTAAAAATCACCATGCTATGCATATTCAAGAAGTAAAACAACAGTACTTGTGGGGAAATGGGGTAAAGGGCACAATACTTAAAATGTTTGTAAGTAATGCATACAAAATGATAGGAACCTAATAAATAAAAACAGTATCATAGCTTTATACATGTTAAGTGGTGAAAAAATGCATAAATACTACAATAGTTATGGTATTTTTACCTTGAAAAAGACCTGAAGTTTGTTTGTGAAAATGTGTGCCCGTGTTCCCACCAGCACACCCTTCACCCTCCTGGCTCCTGTGCCTGCCACCCTGTGTGTAAGAGGAAGAGAACAAAAAAAGAAAGAGAAAAAAGAGCAAGATAAAACAGAGAGAAACAGCATAGAACAAAGAGGAAAAATTTTTAAAATAGGCTGAGAGAAAAGAGGTGGGAAACTAAAAATAGGGGGAGGTATGTAGCTGTGCAGGCTGGGTGGCCATCAGAGGGTTGCAACTTGTAAATTATGAAGTGGTGAAAGGAGAATTATCTGAAATTGGGTGGAAAGTTGTAACTACAGATGTGGATGGGTGCAGTTCATTGTCCTCCTGAGATGTGTGCATGTGTGTGTGTTGTGTATTCTTACATGGCTCAGTTCAGCTGAGTGTGTTCTCAGGACGAAACTGTGCATGAACAAATGTGAAATTCATGTTATGCTTAAATTGTTCCCTAATATATCAAACACATTGGAACAAATTTGTGTTTTTAAAACAAGTATTATAGCAGAACTGACTGTATATTTTTTCCACCATAAATTATAGGTTTGTTTTTTTACATTTTATATGTTGCTAAGCTTTAGCAAATTGTTAAGCAAAGAACATAAACTTGATCACAATAGAAGCCCAATTTGGCAGGTAAAAATGCAATTTTAAAAGCCAATATATCCTAACATCAAGAAGTTATACTTAAGGTACAATGCAGGAGATCAAAACAGGCCTTTGGAGGCAGGCTGACATGGGCTAAACTCTTGACTCAACCATGTTCTTTCTGTGTGATCTTTCCCAAACTCATAACCTCTTTGAGCCTTAATTTCTCCATAAAAAGGCTTTTAATTGCCTTCTAGGGTGGTTATTAAAATGAAATTCATTAAAGTATGCAAAACTCCTAGCATAATATTTGGCCTATAACAAGCATTTAGTAAATGCTATTTCCCTTTACTCTCCCTTTTACTAGCTGAGCAAGCTCCTTTGCAATAGGACTTTCTTTGGCTACAACCCTCTCCTAGGTCCCCAAGGGAACTCTCTGTCGGTTCTTTCCCCTGTCTTTCTTTTATCTGCAGGTTCTAGAATATAGAGAGGCTCTTGAAGCAGTCCTCATCAAAGGCAAAAATGGAATCCCACTTCTGCCAGAGCTGTACAGTGTTCCTCCTGACAGGGTGAGTTAGACAGTGCCATAACATGGGAAATCTATTACCATTAGACATGACTTGGAAGAAATGTTAAAAGAAGTTCTTCAGGAAGGAGGAAAATGATCTATGTCAGAAACTCAGGTCTTCATAAAGAAAAAAAAGCATTGGAGAATGAATAAGAAAAGGTAAAATAAAAACCTTTTTTTTTTTTTTTTTGCTAGCTGGTGCAGAGATCAAACCCTGTACCTTGGTGTTATCAGCACCACGCTCTAACCAACTGAGCTAACCAGCCAGCTTAATCTTCTGATTTTAATGTTCTAAAAGTTTGTCTTTAGGTATAGGAGAACAGAAATATGATTTTATTCCTTTAAATTTTTTTTAAAAACTGTGGTATATGTACACAATGGAATACTATTCAGTTATAAAAAGAAATGAATCCCTGTCATTAGCAACATGGACAGAACTGGGAGCCATCATGTTACGTGAAGTAAATCAGGCACAGAAAGACAAATACCACATGATCTCACTCATATGTGGAATCTAAAAAAAAAAAAAAAATAGTGCTTCTCATAGAAGTCGAGAGTACAATGGTTACAAAAGGCCGGGAGGTAGGGAGAGAGAAGTGGTGAACTAATGGGGACAAAACTATGCTATCTAACCTAAGTGAATCATTGCGCAGTATGTGCATGTATTGAAACAATACACTGTACCCCACAAACATATACAAATAAATGTTAAAATTTAAATTTTTAAAACAGTCTCAGTTATGGAACTGTTGCACAGTGGGACAAGGACAAGACCAAACCTTAATGTTAATAATAATGCAGAGATCAGTAGGTGGAACTAGACTGATGTTCTGTGTGAGCTCTCAGGATTTGGTATTCTCTGTTTTGAGGCCAGTAATCTGGGATTGTTTGACTAGATCAGGCTTGGAAAATAAAGCATGTCTTGTCTTCCTTTTCCCAAAATGTCACTCAAGTGTTCCATTGTTGCTTTTCTTCATTGTGAAGAAGAATTAGACGTGGGAGAGAGACAATCTTCCATTCTGGTAGGGATGGGGCAGAATAAGCTCCTAGCAATGGCAGCAACATCACCTGAGAGCTTATTGGAACTAGATTTCAGGCTGTACCTCATACCTGCTTAATCAGAATCCTCAGGTGATTTGTATCCACATTGCAGTCTGAGGAGCACTGCCCTAGACTATAGTTATAGTGCTGGACTTTTCAGTGCGTTACACATATGACTATATAGGGTATAAACCACAATCCAGACTCAGCCTGATTGCCTAGTATCTGAAATCTATTACCCCTCATCTGGCGTCTTCATCTTTCTTTTAGGTTGATGAAGAATATCAGAATCCTCACACTGTGGATCGAGTCCCCATGGGGAAGTTGCCTCACATGTGGGGTCAGTCTCTGTACATTTTAGGAAATTTGATGGCAGAGGTAAGGGGAAACTTTAAGTCTATCCCACTTTTTTCTGCCTTAGTTACCATAGTAATCAGATTTGTGAGTAGCTCTATAAATCTGAAGGATGTCTTTTGCCTTGTTTACTTTGCCTTAATCGTAGTTTTTCCTCCAGGTCTTCAGAGTGGGGAGCATAGCCAGCCCTCGACAAAAATCTGTTGCTTCCTGGCAATCATGTCCCTCATGCTGCTAAGAGTCCCCTACTTTGGCACTGTACTTGGAGCTCCTCAGGAATCAGGCTCTGGACCTTTCCTTTTCAACCCTCATCCCCACCCCAGTACCTTGCCTGATGACAACCTAATGCAATTGTGCTTAGATAATAATTATTGACAACGGATTAAGTGATAACCTCTTCAAGCAACATAAGGTTTCATTCTTTAGCTGAATTAACTGGTCCTTTTAGGGACCATGACGAGTGGTTAGGAACATCATGGTTTTTTGTTTTTTTGTTTTTTTTTTTTTTTGGTTGGTTGGTTGGTTGGTTGAGTGTTTGTTTTTTGGTAAGGGGCTATTTAAATGTTCCTTATATCAAATTCTGTTGAGACTGCCCTTTCAATGGGGCACTTGGGAATTTCTGACTTAGTGTCCAGCTTCTTTGTGACATTTTCAGCCTACACAGAAGAGTTTTCTTTCTCAAAAGTTTTCCAGATTTGCTGGCAAATCTACTTTCCTACTGCAGGTTGTTTGGATAGGATATAACTCAGGCTCCTATAGGATCTAGGATGGGACTTAACTATCCTTTCTGAGCCAGACTGTTTGACCTGTTTCATGTTTGACCATTTATTTTCTGCAGCTGTTTTTGTTTGTTTTGTGTTTGCTTTTTTCCTGTGGCCATGGCTGTTTTATTATGTTTAGTTGACAATAGCATGAATCTAGCAATAATGGGCAGAATGCTTTGTTTAAAATAATCCTTACCTGGTGACTTTTTCATTCTATTAGAATAAATTAAATGCAATGACAAAAGGAGACGAATGCTATTCTTAAGGGCAAAATGGTTGAGTTCATTCCATTTCATAAAGGGCAGAAACTCAAGTCAAGCTAAAAGATTTCTGCTGAGCAGAAAGCACAGCAGACACATGAACAAATGAGAAAACAACAGGGTTAATGTCTTAAATTACTGATGATAAGCAGTGGTCTGATCATCTAATCATATAAATATCCAGAGAAGACAGAGGAGTAACCAGAAAATTTTCTGTTTATTTATAATCTATACCCTGCCTATTTCCAAAAAAAGGATTTGTGGCAGCCACTAGAAATTAACTTGATAAAATTAATTCAGATGTGAATTCAGGAAGTTCAAACATTTTCATACAGTGAAGGTATTTTTGTTTCCTTTCCACATCTGCCTCTCATATGTTCTGATTCAGGGTGAGGGGCATAGGACTGTGGTTTCCCTTCAAACATTAGCTTTTTTTTTTTTTTTCTTTCTTTTTTTGAGACTTAATAATCCATCTTTTATGGTTTTTCTTTAGGGATTTTTAGCTCCTGGAGAAATTGACCCTCTGAATCGAAGGTTTTCTACTGTACCAAAGCCAGATGTTGTGGTTCAAGGTATGTATTTTTATTCCCAGCAGCAGAAACTCAAAGGCTTTGTTAGGGGCAGAGATCTTTGGGCCAGTAAATTATGACTTTATTCTTCATCTTGCATTTTGTTAGGCTTCAAAAAGTATATAATGAACTTAGTTCCGTTTGGTTTCAAAATTACTGTTAATCTTAATCATAAACAAATGAATGATTTGCTATGTCATAGGACTCCAAAATATTATTTGACATTCTTCACCACTCCTTATTTCTGTAAACTCTTGTCATTTAATTGTCATGACATTTTAGCCTTCTGGTTATCTCTGCTTTCTCTCTGACTACTCCTACGCTTTTTCTGCTAGTACTCCTTTCTTTTCATATCCTGCTGATGGTTCTCTACTTAATCTTATACTCTCATCTTTCTGTATTTACACCCTATATTAGTTTGCAAGGGCTGCCTCCCTCACAATAAATTGGCTTCCATAGCTCCAATTATTACCTCTTTTGAGAGTTCTCCAAACCTTTAATTTTGTTCCTAACAATCAAATTTTGGGGCACTACTGGACTGAGTTCTGTAAACATATTGGGAATTCTGTTCTCCATCCCTTCCTTTTACCTCTCCCAAGAAAAGCAGATCTTTCCATTCAATGACATCATTATTATCCTACTCTCTTAGGGTAGAGAACTTGAGGTGATTTTGGGCTCTCCAATATCACTATCCAATATAGTATTAAGTCCTGCTGTGAAAGTCCTTTGAAATATCTCCAGTCACTTGACTTTGGGGTTGGTTCTATATGGAAAATAATCCCGTATGTTTTCTAAACCTTATACTTGGCATCCTATGTGGTCATACAGCTGGTCCTTGCTTATCGATGTATATAGCAAACATTATATAAAGATCATTACTCCCCCTCCCATGAGAAAGCTTGTTCTCCTTTGAGGATTATGCCATCTGGCTATATTGATCTCCTGGTTGCTCTAATTCATCCATTGAAGACTTTCAGGCCTGGCTCACAGCCTTCCTTTCCCTCCCTAAACCCTGCCACAGAGCTAGATTTCAACATTGGTGTAGATGCCATCTAACATTTTAGCCTCAAAATTCTTGGATATCCATAACTCTAGTGACCTTTCCCTCTTCCTCTACTTTAGCCGCCTGCTCCAAGAACCAAACTTTAGGACTGTTTCACCTCAGATAACTAAAATTCCAATATTCTACTCTCAGTCATTGTCACACATTATTTCAGCTTTCTTTTTCTTCCCATTTTACTTGTCTCCATTTTCTCCTAGTCTGCCCTTCCCTACTTCATGATTGATCACCCAAATATCTCAATCACCAATGTACTACACTTGTACTACAACTACCAGAAAAATCCTAAGTCCAGATCAGTCTTACAGTCTGCACTTTCTGATCCTGCTATAAGCTATTGGGGGAAAAAAATCAACAAATGAACAGAACAGTGGCACTGGAAATCTACAGTCTCCAACTCAACTACGTCCACAGTGCCTCCTGTTCTTGTTCTTATCATTAGTCCACACTTTTATTCTTTTCGGCCACTATTCCAAACCTTCTCTGTTCTCAACCCCCACCCCTTGTTTTCAGCCTGATTCTTTGGCCTGATAATCTTAATATTCCCATCTTTGTCAGTTTCCCAGCCCTTGCTGCCCCTACAATCTTAAATATCTTTTCCTCCTTTTCTCCAGTCTCAGAAAAAGGTGTTTCTTCTCCTATTCAAGGCCAAGTCCTCCTTATGCTTGATCCTATCCTCTTCCCCAGCCTTCTCTAGAAACTTACTCTTTTCTGGAATCTTCAATCTCTCCCGCTCTGTTGGTTCTTTTTTTGATCTACTGACATGTTTGTCTCCCTCTAGTTATCCTATATAGCTCCTTCCTTTCTCATCCAAACTTCCACTTCTTCATATTGCATTTATTGCTGTCTTTTATAGTCTGGCTTATTATTCTGGAAATGCTGTTTCTTAAGTTACCAATGACCTTTGTATTGCCAAATTTGGTACATATTTTTCAACCTGTATCTTAGTGGATCTTTCTGTTCCATTTATCATTTATCTTTCTGGAAACTCACAACTCCCACATCTTCTGTCATATACTTTCTTGGATCTCCTTTAACCTATATTAAGCACTTTTCTGTATCATTCTGGGCTTCCTCTTCTTCTCTTTGCCCCTTAAAGGTTGATGTTCCTGAGAGTTCTGTCCTTAGCCTACTGCTCTTCTTACTCTGAATTTTTGTTCCTGTCTCAGCATCCTCTTATTCCTAACCTTTTCCCCATTTTTGACTTCCTTACTTCTTCCCTCACTCTCAGAAGATGACCTCACCTTCACCACCATAGAGAAAATATAAGCCATGAGACAAAAATCCCCCACCCCACCGGGGGCCACAGCCATGCCCCCCGCCACCCACAATCAGCCCAGAGATGACTACTGAGCCACCACAGGAAGCACCCCAGGCTCCTGAGCCTGGACAGTGGCGGGTCGAGGGCTACAGCCACACACCCCTCACATCTGCATTTAGCACAGCAATAACCAAGCCACCACTGGAAGCTCCCTGGTCAGGAAGCACCCCAGGCTCCTGGGCCTGGACAGTGGCGGGTCGAGGGCTACAGCCACACACCCCTCACATCTGCATTTAGCACAGCAATAACCAAGCCACCACTGGAAGCTCCCTGGTCTTCCCTGCAGGAATAAAGAAGTTGCCACAGGCCTCAACCATGGACCCCCTCCTTCCTCCTTCTGCCACCCTATTTCCTTCCCCCTTCCCTTCTCCCGCTCCCACCCAACTGCTCCACAGCAACATCTTAGAATGTAAAAACAGATGGAGCTAGGGACCAACCCCTCCTCCTGCATCCAGGCACAGCGCTGCTGCCATGGGGCCCACCAAGGGTCCTGAGGCATGGAGTCAGGGACCGACCCCTCCTCCCACAACCAGGCAAGGACCACTTCCAAAAACCAAAAACACCACTTCCGTGTGGGTGGCCCACCACAGCCACCACAGTAGCCACAGCTGCCACAAAAGCAGCTAGACACCACAACCACCATGCAGATGGCCTGCCAGCCACTGGAGTGCATTGAAACAAGGAGAGTCACCAGCAGAGACCAAAGAAAAGAAGAGGATGTCTCTCTCCACAGAGCTCATTCCAGAGTGACAGAAGAAGCATCTGCTCTGCAATAATAGTGGGGGACCTGAACACACCTCTCTCAGCACTGGAAAAATCATCTAGGCAACAAATCAACAGAGTAACTATACTCTTTCAGAAGGAGAGAAGAAATCTAGGGTTATCAGAGGTGGGAGGAGGGAGGAAAAGGGGGATGGGGAGAGATTGGATAAGGGGCATAAAGAATAAGTATGATTTGTAATAATATATATATATATATGCTAATAATATTGACTTGATCAACATACGTCAATGTTGAACCCCAAAAATATGTATAATCAATCAATTATGATTCAATAAAAAAATAATTAATTAATTTTAAAATACCCCACCCCCAGGCTTTTCTTCATCTGACCATTTCTTTTTTTTTAATTATTTTTATTTATTATTAGCATATTCATTCTTACAAATCATGATTTTTCCTTATGCCCTTTACCTGACCTGACACTCCCCCAACCCCCTCCCTTCCTCCCCCCATCTCTAGTATACTTAGGTTTGTTCTCTCCTTCTGAAAGTTCAATGTATTATTGTGGTATTTTCTTTCTTTCTTTCCTTCATTCCTTCCTTCTTCCCTCCTTCCCTCTCTTCCTTCCTTCCTAGCAGCCAGTTATGAGTGAGAACATGCAGTGTTTCTGTTTCTTTGTCTGGCTTATTTCACTTAACATAATTTTCTCTAGACCCATCCATGTTGCTACAAATGGCAGAATTTCATTCTTTTTTATGGCTGAGTAGTAGAAATTCAAATTTCTCAAGGTTATTTTCTCTTCTCCTCTTCTCTGTATGTTCTTAACTCAGCTCATCTCTTTCTGTGTTAATGATTCCTAAATCTATACCAGCTTGCTTAGGCATTTCTCTAAAGAAGATATACAAACGGCCAACAGTCATATGAAAAAATGCTCAACATCACTCAGCATCCGGGAAATGCAAATCAAAACCACACTGAGATACCATCTCACCCCAGTTAGGATGGCCAAAATCCAAAAGACACCGAAAGATAAATGCTGGCGTGGCTGCGGAGAAAAAGGAACTCTCTTACATTGTTGGTGGGAATGCATAATGGTGCAACCCCTATGGAAAATGGTTTGGAGGTTCCTCAAACAGCTGAAGATAGATCTACCATACGACCCAGCTATCCCACTGCTGGGAATATATCCAAAGGAATGGAAATCATCAAGTCGAAGATATAC